CACTAATTAGAAGAACGCAGACTAAAACAGCAATTTACAGACGAATCAGAGGATAAAACATGATCTTAAAATATATTTAATATATACACGCAATCAGCTCATAACCCAAAGCCAAAAAGACTACATTAGGCAGCGAACCCAAAAATCCGGGAGGAAGAGCAGAGGCCAGCAAACACCTGGGCGTGTTTTAATTAACTGATAATATATTCACTCTTATGCTCATCCTTCCCCATGGCTCAGTTGTTCCTGTCCCTTTAGGAAATGAATAGTTTGCAGATTTGTGTTCTGAGTGTAATCCGTCTCATTCAGGGTGATTTAAGGAAGCTTTCAGAATACGTTATTTTTACCTGTGGAGATATGCAGTTTCATTACCCACACTTTCCCAAAGAGTTACATCATTAATTATTCAGTTTCTTAACATTTTAAGTTGATCACAAAATAAGGCTACAACTGCACAACACTGCTTTAAATATATATATATATATTATGTATATGTATTATTTCAATAATTGGTATAGTTGCCATACATTTGTGTTCTTCATTTTATTTGATCAATTAAATCCCTTACTTTTTTAACTTACGTTTCTACAGCAAAAAAAAGGAAAGTGCATTTATGCAAAAACACCCTTTTTGAAAAATTCTCAATTATGCATCATCTATCGTTTAAAATCATACCATTATGTTGTAATAATTCCATATGTTAAGTACAAATAATGTATCAAAAGCTGTGTCAAATCTTATCCTTTATATTTAGATTATAAGATTGTTCATTGTGCTCCAGGTTTACATTTTAACTCGAAATTCCATTTGGGTTCATTTGTCAAGCATCTTTTAACAGCTTTGGTTTATTGATTTAAAATTGGCTGCATTAGATCTATTTTCCTCTAAAATGCCAGTGAAGGGTTTATAGTGGCTGTTACTTGGCCTCAGGTTAAATGACAGCTCATCAAGGTGAGTGACATGCAGGGAGGTGTACAGAGGACACACTCCCATCCACTCACACAGTATAGCATGTGAACATACATCATTACATTTTGACAAATTGTCAGTCATTGAGTTGACAGAATGTTTGTCGTTGAGAGGAGCGGAATGCTTACTTTGCACTACTCTGTAATTAGAGGTCAAAAGGCTCAAACATTTATTTTCGCATTCGAGCTCATAACAACAGTCACTTGATTTTTATTTCTCTCTGTGGCTGATTAATACATATATAATGCCATCATTTTCAACATGTTGACCACCTGACCCTTCTGTGTGTGTGAGTTGTAGCCTTCTCCGTACATACTGTATATAACGGATGGGAACAGGAGCCTGTAAAACTATTGCTGAAGTGAATAGAATAATTATAATCTAGTGCTTGTTTACTTTAAGATAAACACTCACTTGCTGCTTTCTGTTACAATAATTGGAATCCTTTTAAGGACATAACAACATTTAAAGAAAACGGAAATTAGGTCTGCAAAAAATAAGTGGGCTACATCTGTTGTTCCAGAGTGTCAGATGCATATTTAATTAACAGTTGATGTTTTTTATGCTGCTCTGATCTCATTGTAGTTTGTGAGCATTAATTAAGCTACCACAAAACAGTGCAATGCTTTTTATGTCTTATCAACCTATGCAAGCTGGTCTATAATTCTTCTCAGATCAATCATGATGTATTTTTGCATTAAGGGTTGGTTTAAAAAAGATTAAAATGTGAAAAGGCCCACTATTCTGAAACCACAATATTCCAGAAAAAATGTCCCAATGTTGGACCAAAAGACCATTTGTCCAATAGTCTGTCAATTCCATCAAAAAAGGCGGGCATTGTACCGAAGGCCTACTGTTATGAAAATAGACACTCCGCTGCAGAGAACAGAGGCACGTGGCTAATCTTTAAGCAAAATGACTGCAAAGGCATGACCCGCCTCACCATTCCTTATAAGGCTTAACTTGCTATTTTTGGCTTTGCCATAGTAGGAATAACATATTTACAAATAGCCATTAGCTGGAGCAAAGGGTCTTTAAAACTATGGGTTTTTAGACTTTACAGAAAAGGACAGGGAAGGCAATTAATATATATATGATATGCCCGCCACAAACTTTGGTTTAATTGGATGACTGCAGAAACCTAAGTTTAAAAGCTATCCTTAATAAACCTTACCTGCCTGGGAAAACGTTTTCGATTAAAACAAGGCTCCATTGTTCCCTTGAGTTAAGCTTGAGATTGGCTGATGAATCGGAGCCAGAATTACAGTCACTTTACAGTACCGCGCTGATGTTGGGAGAGCTGAGCCAGAAGGGAGAGCTCTCAATCTACCCGTCCTTCCTACTCTCATCTGTGGTCCTGAAGGGTGGGTCATGTCCCAAAGAACAAGGTTCTGTATACAAGGCCGATAGGTTTCTCAAGATAGTGGCTGGGATCTCTCTTAGGGATATGTTTAGAAGTTCAGACTCGGAATATAGCTGCTGCTTCTTTGCTCAGTTAAGGTGGTTCTGGCACCTAGTAAGGATGCATCTTGGGGGGTGTTCCAGGCACGTCAAGCTAGACGGGGACCAAGGGGCAGACCCAGTACCAGGTGCATGGATTATATCTCCACCCTGGCCTGGAAATGCCTTGAAATGATTCAGTTAGAGCTGGTTCCTTTGCTACAATACTCCTGATAAGCGTTTGACTGGTTGGATAAATGAGTGGTTGTTGAATGGTGCAATGAAGAAAGGTCAGTTGTAAAAGAGTCAGACGACTTCAGAAACTACCTGAACTGAGAGGTTGGAGGAGGGATAATGGTGGTTCTGAAGGGAAAGAGGGCAGAGGAAAACAAAGAAGTAAAGAGAGAACTGAGGCCAAAATGGACAGCAACATACTGTTTGACTTTACTTCTATCTGAGAAAGAAAGAAAGCTGTGTGGACACCATAGACTGTATATATAAATGTGGACACACACACACACACACACACACACACACACACACACACACACACACACACACACACACACACACACACCTGTCTGATGTTGAGCAGCGTTTGTATGTTGGGTCACACTGACTGAATGCTGGCGGGTGTTATTTTACCCATGCCCGTATGGCCTGCACTATACACCATGAACAAAGCACTGATGGGCTGCTTTCAAAGAGCCTTACCTGCTCTTTCAGCATCAAAAAGTGCACTTAGGAGCCTCTGTGATTTTCCATCTCTTTCCTCAGCTCAGGTTGGGTTATATTATGATGAGCAATAGTCTCTCCCTCTCCAGCCGGCGTCTCTTTCATCCTCACCCCCTCATCTCCTCCCCCATCAATATATCCCTGTCCTTGCTGTTCCCTTGTCTTGCACATACACTCTTTCTTTGTTATATTAATAACCCCATAAGCTTGGACTTTTACCCTAAAAAACACACAACACAATTTCACTCAATATGCTCCCAGTGTAATCTTGACTTTATGTAAAAATGCATTAGTTCAAGTAGTAGACGTATCACAGATGTGCTGGCGATGTAATCATTCAAAGCGCCTCTGTAGGTGGTCAGAAAACAAGCGGTGTAAACGCAGTGTGCCGCCAATCATCACACGGCTACGGTTACATACTGCAGAGAATCATTTGCATGGATCCAATCAAGGTCACAGAGAGATGCACCTCAGAATAGTATTTTCTTTTATGAACATAAAAATCAGACTTCCAGTCTCACGATAAGGACAAAGTATTCCTTTATACAGTATATGGAATTTATGCTTGAAGTTTAGGCTAATGGTGTGCTCCTTTACTGCGCATGCTACACATTTGGTGGGATTGTTTAAGGAAAATATGCCAGAATTTAACACCTTGCAAAGGGTTAATTAACATGTAATAAAGTGTTTAGAACGTGTCACCAGTGGTTTAATCAATGGTTAAGAGATACAATTCTCGAAGGAAATACCGACGACATGACCTCAGAATCCTCAGTGGTAGAACCTGCTTGGGTTTCTGGGTTGTAAATACGTTTGTAGGTGTTTATCCTCCCCCAGAACTTTCCTTGTTTTGTTCTTTGTTTAAAGCTTAACCATTTTTAATCAGTCAAACGACCATTTGACCAATAACCTCAATATTTCTAATACATAGCTATTAGGGGTGTAACGGTACACGTACCCGTACCGAAATTATTCGGTACGGGCACTTCGGTTCGGTACGGGTGTGTACCGAAGTGTACCGAACGAATATAACGTTAAACGTAAAAAAATTAGAACGTGAACAACTTTTTGGAAGTAATCTCAGGTGCTGCGGGCGCAGCATTCAGAGTCATTTGCTCACATTGGGTTCCACGCGTCATAGAGCGAGCAAGTAATTTCATTGGACGAGAGAGACATGCTATGAGAGCTGGTCACAGGGATGCGTTCAAATTTAGTCAGTAATTTGAGGAACTCTCAAAATGGCGAACGCAGGGAAAGTGGAGCTCGAAAATCCTCCACCAACATTAAAGTCTCCGGTTTGGGAACATTATGGTTTTGCAGTTGCATACAACGATGACGGACAAAGACAGGTGGACCGAACTAAAGCTGTTTGTCGGCATTGTTCGACACACATTGGTTACGCGGCCGGCAATACAACAAACATGCACACGCATCTGAAAAGACATCACCCGAACGTAAATATTACCGGTATCAAACGAAAAATGACTGAAGTGCAAACTCAACTCCCACTATCATTTAAGCCTCCACCACTCGTAAAAAGTTCCGACCGAGCCACAGCTATCACAAACGCCATAGGTGTTTTCATAGCAGCGGACATGCGACCATATTCCGTTGTGGAGAATATAGGGTTCAAACACATGTTGAGAGTGGTCGAGCCTCGTTACCAGGTTCCCTCTCGTCCGCACTTCAGCCAGGAAGTGATACCAGCACTTTACAATAAAGTAAAAACAACAGTTGTCCACGACCTATCCAAGGCATCTTCTATTGCTCTAACGACCGATGGGTGGACATCTCGGGCCACCGAGAGTTATTTAACTGTAACGGCGCACTACATTACACCCGACTGCAACTGGAACATGCAAAGCCACGTCCTGCAAACTCGCCCCCTTTACGAACAGCACACAAGCACAAATCTGGCAGAGGTACTGAAGGAGGTAGTGTCAGAATGGAAGTTGGAGAGGCCAGGTAACACAATTCCAGTCACAACAGATAACGCAAGAAACATTGTCAATGCAATCAGTGAAGCTGGACTGGGCCCCCAAATTGGATGCTTTGCTCACACAATTAATTTAGCAGCACAAAAAGCAACAGGAATCAACCAGGTGTCCAGGCTGCTAGGCAGAATCAGGAGTGTTGTGTCTTTCTTCCACCGTAGCACAACAGCTGCACATATATTGCAGTGCAAACAGGAGATGCTCAATGTGCCAAAACACAAACTCATCCATGATGTCCCCACTCGCTGGAACTCCAGTTATGACATGGTGGAGCGGTATCTTGAGCAGCAAGCTGCTGTTTACTCAGCATTGACAGAAAAGACCCTCAAGAAAAACAAAAACATTAATACATTGAGTGACCAGGATGTGAGAATGGCAGAGGAGGTAATTGAGGTCCTTAAACCCCTAAAAACGATCACAACACTGATGTGCACTGAAACAACTCCATCAGTTTCAATGATCCTGCCTCTCAAAACAATGCTGATTAAATCCATGGGACCAAATGAGAAGGACTGTCTAACTGTGAAGGAAGTCAAAGCTGCCATCAGAGGGAGCCTAAAGGACAGATACACTGACCCTGCTCTTCAGGACTTTCTTCATAATGCACAGCTGTAGATCCAAGGTTCAAGGCCCTTTCTCATGTGGATAATGCCTGCCGTGAACACATCTACAACAGTCTCACCACAGAGATTGTGGCCATTGAAGAACAGGTATACAATTAATTAATTTCCTTATGCATAAATTCAATTTTTGCTTAATTTGAAACATGTTATAGCTGTTACAATGTGAATAGTACTCTCATGTAAAATATAACATTATTTCTGTCATTTAATTCTGCAGAGGGAGGCCACAGAGACAGCAGGAGCCATGTCATCCGCAGGGAGAGCAGACCCAGAGGAATCTGTAGAATCTTCCTCCTCCTCCTCCTCCTCCTCCCATCCTCCTCCTCCTCCTCCTCCCATCAGGAAGTCAGCCATGGCAGAACTGTTTGGTGAGCTCTTCAACACTGAGGAGAGAAACAAGCCCACTTTGCAGCTGGTGAAGGGAGAGGTTACCTCATACATGGCAGCGGACAGCACTTCACTGGACTCCGACCCACTTGCATGGTGGAAGAACAATGAGGCCAAATATCCTCATGTTGCCATGTTGGCAAAGCGCTACCTGGCTGTATCTGCTACCTCTGTCCCTAGCGAGAGGGTGTTCTCCACAGCAGGAGACATTGTTAGTGCCAGCAGATCTGCCCTTTCAGCAAGCAATGTGGACAAGTTAATTTTTCTAAAAAAAAACCTGAAAATACAATGAGAAGCAATCTGCCGGCTAATGTCAATCTGCTGGCTGCTCAGGTCTGAGTACTAGTATTACGAACAGAGTACTACAGTACAGTTCAAGCACAGATTTCAGTTCATCGAAATGCTGCACTTTTATGTTCATTTTGTTATATTTTTTATTTATTAGAGTTCACAGTTTAATAATAATAAAAAAATATATATATATATTTTATGTTTTGTGAGAATTTTTTCTGCTGTACCGAAAACGTACCGAACCGAACCGTGACCTAAAAACCGAGGTACGTACCGAACCGAAATGTTTGTGAACCGTTACACCCCTAATAGCTATGGAAAGGGGGGTATTTATCAGTGGCGAACCGTCAGGGCCTTCAAGGTATTCAGAGAATACCCTGGAACACTCAGATAAAACAAACAAAAAAATTGATTTAATTATATAAATAAAATGTAGTAAAATGTATATGAAATGAATAAATGAGAATCGTATCCGTGTTGTTGATCTGTAATATTACAGTGTTACGTTGATTTGTTTGTCCTTCTCGGACCATGCACTACGCATTTCAGTGGTTTTGTGTTAGAAAAGAAAGCAACCAATCAGATCTTGTTCTGGGTCTCTGGGTAGAATATCCTTCAACCAAGGTATTCTACATCCTTGATCGAATGCCCTGGCCCTTGCACTGAATGAGAGCGTACGTTTGGACTGACAGGTTGATCAACCAATCATATATTCAGGGTTCTTACACCTTTTCCAAAGTCAAATTCAAGCACTTTTCAAGCATTTTCAAGGTGCATTTTCCAGCTTTTCAAGCAGCTTACAGCTGTTGTAAATTACATATTTATATACACATACTCAAATGATTATTTCCCTACCTCACATTAAATCAGATGTTCTTTATGCTATAAACAACCAAATGTGTGTTTCGTGATAGCATTCTACACGAGGATGAACAATTAAAGAAAAGAAAACTAAGTTTAATATTTCAAAAGGAGTGACCTGTACGTAGACTGGGCCTCCCATATAACCTGTCTGAGCCAATATAAAACAATCAGCCAAATAACTTTTCAATACATTATTGATTACTATTTTTGAGGTACTTTTATGTTGGAAGTGAACATAAGTCAGAGGTAAATGGTGTACTTTTCCTCCACTACATGTATTTAATACCTTTAGTTACTTCACAGATGTGGATGAATGATGTGAAATATAATCAAGTGTTAAATCAGACTTTAGTTCCACCTAGAGTAAATCCACAAGGTAATTTTGACTACTCAAGACACCTGACTTATACATCTTCAAAGGAAGACTGTGTTCATTCTACAATTACATGGGATTAAAGCAAAATGTAGTTTTACTTGTATAATACTTCAATTTTATATAAAAGACAGTTTGTTTTCATCTGTTTTCAAATAAACAAAGTATTGGCTTTCAGAATATTAAACTTGTTACGGCAAATTCAGATGATAAATACAACTTTGAAGCTTCGGCATAATTACAAGCAGAGAACGGACTAATGTAATATCACAACAAGCATAACAACAGCCGGTGTTTCTTATGAGTGTTTCCCCGGTACACAAACGCAAAAATACACACAAACACTCGCGAGCTTCCCCCAGACCAGTAATACAAACGAAAATGTGTCTTCGGGTCAATGTGACTGATTTCGATAGAGCAAGTTACATTTGGTTTAGGTACGAAACATACTACCAGTAGAAATACATTGCTTTCAAAATCGCTCTGTGTCGAATCAATAGATTATATTTCGTGACTATAACACGAAATGCCGTGAGTGCTTCATCCTCTGAACACTAGTGATGGGAATTCCGGCTTTTCTTGGTGAGCCGGATCATTTGGCTCGGCTCACCAAGAAGAGCTCCCAAACGGCTCTTCAGTTTACCACATATTATACCTTTTAATTAAATCAAATGTAGCCCTGTGTTGACTAATGATTTATATGTGTACACATATATCACTTAAATTATTCAATACATCCTTTGTACTGAAGTATTCAAAAGTGAAAATTACATGTTTAATATAAATGATTTGCTGTGGCCAATTGTTTTCATTGCATTTACAGACCCGTGTAACTCTCTGATACCACCCAATGAATGCACTGACTTGCTTGTAGAACCACGCTACACAAAACAAATAGCAACACCTATAACAACTATTTAAAAGAAAAGGGGCTACTGTATCGACCTATATAAAGTATATAAATATAGTTTTTTTATATAAAAAAATATAGAAGACTATATAGACCAAAAAGATCCTGCATTTTAGCCATGCCTCATTTCGCTCTATTTGCTCTTTCCAGCGCTGTTTTTGCAGAGGCTGATTCTGTGAGCTGCAGCTGACAACGCCCCCCTGCAGGAGAGGGGAGCGTGCTTTGAGATCAGCTGCTGGGCTGTCAGAAGAGGGGGAGCAAAAGAGATCTCCCTCCTCCCGTGTTTTATTCTTATAGAAGTAAGAAGAGAAGTAACGGGGCAGAAACCCTCCTTTTTACGCAGCGGTCCAGACATAGACATCAAACGGCCACACATATTCAGTGTGCAGTTACTTTGGCATTAGGGCAGGGATATCTAGATACTTTCCAAGGTTTGACATAATGAATTGTGCTACTTTTAAAGCAAGCAACGATGTTTTCAAATCTGTAATCAAAAAGCTCCTCAACAAAACTATCGAAGCAGTTCCTGCCGTTGCTACGTTAGTTCACTTCAAACAGTAACAACGGACTACTTTTCTTAGCGGATGCATGTCAATTTAAATCAATACATAAAACTATTTTTTAAATCAATAAAATCATTTTCTAAATCCATAAAAGCATTTCAATTAATATTGGGAGTCATGTCGTTACTTTGTTGAGAATGTGGCCGTGTAATAAGCGGGATAATGTGCACTTTGCATAATGTGCCTTCAAGCCGATCTAGATCCCTCCGCAAAAAAAAACAAAAAAACCGGCTCGTTTATCCCCTGCAATTATTATTATCCCTCAATCGAGTTTGCTATTCAGCTAGCAAACGTTAGCTTAAACAAACGTAACATGCAACGTTAGCCTAATCTAAAATGCTCTTCTACGGCGTACCTTTCATGTGGCTCGTCAGCGCAGACTCTCGCATCGTTATGTTTGCAAACTTTGCAGGAGGCTACTCGTGGGCTTGACCCTCGTCTTAGCCATGGATGGTATTTGTCTTCTGCTAGCCAACGCTCGTTGAAACGGCAACCTCCTGGCACACAGTCATCTATCACTCTCATCAGAATGCCCAGGTCACACGTAACACAAACATTTGCAGGTCGCGCGGGAAGGCCGCAGCGGAGCTGTTTTATGTAGAAGCGAAGCAATTATTTTCTTTTAATCTAAAAAGTGAACTATTCAGTCAGACAGCAATTTATTGTAAAAGTAAAGCATTTACATTTTCAAGCACTTTATCTCAATTTCAAGCACCATTCCCAAAATTCAAGCACTTTCCCAACCTTGAAAACACCACGTCAAATTTCAAGCATTTTCAAGGATTTCAAGCACCCGTCCGAACCCTGTATATTGATTTGTAGCCAATGGGCGTATTCTTTCAGAGTTCCCCTCGGTTCCAGGGTATTCTAGAAGTTAACTGGCTCGAGACAGAGGATCTGGAACGAATGCGACGAAGCAATTCATGCCGTTTTATTGTTTTTAACGTTTAAATGACAAGTGCAACAGGTGAAGATGAAGTTGTTGCGGAATTGTTGTGAGTACCCTTTTCAAGACGACAATTCAGTGAAAAGACTGACATTATAATGCCGCGGAGGGGGGGCGGTGGCGGGGGGTGGGTGTGTCTACAGAAGGTCCAGTTGTGATAGCCACGGTTCGCCACAGGTATTTATTAACCCCTTCTAAAGTCATCAAAATATCTTGACCTTTCACAATGGGGGCCATATTGTGATTATCAAAAAGATTACCAGAGAAGGTATAGTGGTACATTGAAAACCCAATTGCAGAGATGAAACATGCACTAGGTCCATATCCTCAAAAGTAAAGACATTACAAATGATTGGTCGTTCCCTTTATACATGTATTACTTTATAGTTTTTCTTTACTGAGGGACCATTCATCCGACCATAGTTCTCTAGAACATAAACAAAAAAAGCAGTTTTCCGTGTTTCCATCTCTGACTTGTTCGAGGCGGCATTAAAAAGTCAATATTTAAAGGCAGTAAACAACATTACATTTCAGACATTTTAATTGCCCTAATTGCTGAGTGTTTTATCCACCATATTAACATAAGCAATTCCTTGGAAGGATAGTGCTAACATAGCAGAAAATTGGCCCGGGGGGCTTAGGGGAATTAGAAAGGCAGATTGCATGACGTGGTGGAGGGAGAAGTCTAAGCTAGCGGAACCGACATTTGAAGCTTTTTCCCCCCTAATTATGATCCATATGTGAATTTTTTTTTTAGTCTGCTCTTTCACCTCGAAACTCTTTCAAAGCTCATTTCATTCACTTGGAAGGGATTTGTCATGTGGAAAATAAGCTTCAATGTTGATTTGATTCATTTATTGTATATTTCTTGATGAAGAGACATCCTTTTTTTATGACAGGACATTAACTTTCTGTCCTACTTAATAGACTTTTGTTGTAATATCAAAAAGATAGCAGCGTATGTTAATCAAGGTCAACATGTGTATATACTTGCATTTTCATTGTCTAATACATGCCTGAAAGTACACACAATCATTATTGTGCTCTCTAGACATTCCCCAATCTTTTCTATTTACTTTTCACATTTATTTCTCACAGCTGCTCTTCTTCCTTCATTTCCCTGCAAACATTACCCACCCATCCAGCGTGAAAACAAAGACTAAAACCTCCTAAACCAGATCACCCACCATGTAATCTCTGCAAATAAATGAGGAACACCCGCTGCTGCAGCCAAACGCTCGTCGCATACGTCTCCCTGCTGTCCGTGATGGCAGCTTGTGTGCGCGACTAAATGCACCATGCTGATGGCAGCCAAATCGTTGCGAGATGCTTTCATTTCTATTTACCCTGCGCTGTTTGCTGACTCCAGAGATGCTTGTATTAATGGGGAAAAAAGAAAGTAATGAAAGGAAAAATAACCTTTCTTTCCTCCCTCGCTCTCTATCTTTCCATATCTGCTGCTAACATGCACATTATAACACCGTCCTGCAAAGCTTGGC